CCGGGGGCCACACTGATATTATACCTTCATATTAAGGTGAGGGGCCACAAAATATTGTACTGCGGGCCGCGAGTCTGAGACCCCTGCTGTAAACAGTATAGGAAGACCTGGGGCCTGATGTGCTAAACTATTTTATCGTGAAAAAGGGCGGTACGCAAAAATTGACGTAGATACGGAAAAATTCTGGGGCCCATTTCCACGCTCAATTTCAGACGTCTCAAAATTGAGATGATCGTTGAAATGTGCGCTCCTCATGGCAGCTCCAGAGCTAGCGTACGCATGTTTCTATAGCTGTGTGCCTTTGGCGACACTTAGGGGCTGATGCTGGGAAACTGCTAATAATGTAAAAAAAAAAAACAAGTAGTCATCCGAGTGATTTGTACATCAGAGACACGTATGAACGATTAACTCACAAACGTGTTTGTAGATATATGGGTGCACGTGAAAGAATGCGTTGCACGTGAAAGTGTTGAAGAAACGGTAGTGTTGTTAGAACTCTCACAATAATACGTGTATTTAGGGAATATATATATTTATAATATATCATTTATAAATTTATATAGTATATAAATATATATAAATATATAAAATATATATTTTAAAAAAATATAAAATATATATTTTAAATAAAATAAATAAAAATAAAATAAATAAAATATAATATATATATATTTATATATTTTATATGTACTAGGATTGATTGATTGAGAACAGGATTTAAAAAAATGTTAAAATGTTAAAAAATCGATACAAACGTGTGACACTTTGCATCGGTTGAAATAAAAAATGAATCATCAAGCCCTAGGGAGCAGGCTGCATCAACTCAAAAAAGTCAATGGTCATACCATAAAACTGCGCAATCTAATACAGTAGGTGGCGCTGTGCGGCTAAAAAGTGTTTCTGTAAAGAAAGGAGCTCTTTCCTGGACGACGTCTATCTGGTATCTGTTTTTATTTTTATGTACTGTAGATGGTTTACCGAACTGTAACGTGCTTCGTTTGAATCGTACCTTCTCTCCTAACGGCTGACCTCTGTGTTGTAGAATTGGTTGGATTCACTAAAGGAGATAAAGAAACAGATTAGAGGTGAGTTTGGTCACAAAGAAATTTCACCTGGTTTAGTTCATCTTTCCTGTTTCTTAAACCTAGCAATTTCTTACCAAGATACCACAAGGGACTTAACTGAAATGCATTGGGTTTCACACTTCTTTTTTTTTTTTTTTTAAACCGGACCCTGCCGACACCCCCCAGTTAGTTGTTTTTACGGCCCACGTGAACAAGCACTGAGGAGGGAGGGACCAGAAGCACAAGGAAGTGGAAAACCTGGCCTCCCGATTTGCCAATACTGAAAACGGATGTCCGTTCCACTTGAGCCACAAGAAAACCTAATATTTTGTTCTCAGACAGTATATGCCTGAACGTTATCAGCACACCATATCTGCTCACGAGAGGTTTTCCAATTTGTTCCCTGTTTTACCCGTTTTCTATTTGGTTTTCACGTCCTCTCTTTGGTTTATTTTACTGTTTGTATTTCCCACCAGTAGTTGACTTCGCCCGGGTTTACACGCAACCAATCCAAGACAGTTTCCCCCGATGTGTTTTTTTTAAATGATATCTCACATCCACTCTTTGTGGAATCTTGATTAATTGCCATGACTTGAAGTAGATCTGGTTTAACCAAGTAAAGTGTGAACTTTCTGTTTTTCAGGGCTGCCCTGCAACTTCTTCTTTAACGTCAAGTTCTACCCTCCCAATCCTGCTCAGCTGTCTGAAGACATTACCAGGTTGCTCTTCTTACCAGTCAATCACACAAGTCTCACACACTCTATATTTGTAGTAACTGTCTGCATAGGATAAGCTATAGATAGGTGGATGTTAAGGATACGGGAACAATACGAAGTGCTATAAACATCTTCTTCTTTTTCTTTCGGCTTTGTCCCTTTTTTTTTCAGGGGTTGTCACATCAAATCATTGTTTTCCATCTCTCCCTGTTCTCTGCATCTTCTACTCTGACTCCAACTACCTGCAGGTCCTCCCTCACTGCATCCATATATCTCCTCTTTGTCTCCTACCTGGTAGCTCCATCTCTAACATTCTTCTACCAATGTGTCCACTGTCCCTCCTCTGCACATGTCCAAACCATCTCAATCTGGCTTCTCTAGCTTTTTCTCCAAACCTTCCTGTCTGTGTTGTCCCTCTAATGACCTCATTCCTGATCCTGTCCATTCTTGTCACTCCTAAAGAGAATCTTAGCATCTTTAACTCTGCCACCTCCACCTCCAGCTCCTCCTCCTGTCTTCTGCCTATTGCTACCGTCTCTAAACCATACATCATGGCTGGTCTCACCCCCGTCCTGTAAACCTTTCCCTTCACCTCATCTGACACTCTTCTGTCACAGATCTCTCCTGACACTTTTCTCCAGCTGTTCCATCCTGCCTGTACTCTATTCTTCACCTCTCTTCCACAGTCTCCTCTGCTCTGAACCGTTGATCCTAAGTACCTAAACTCCTGCACCTTCACCACCTCTGCTCCTTGTAGCCTCACCATTTCACTGTTCTGCCTTTCGTTTACACACATGTACTCTGTCTTGCTACGACTGACAAATATTTTGCTATAAACATTTTTTTTAAAAATAGTTTTCTTATCTTTTTATAAATATGGAATACAATGTTGTGAAGTGAAAGACAAAAACAAAACGCTTCCATAGAATGTCTGTTTCGATTATTACTAATTTGTGTAATTTAAAATTAATATAAACAAACCAAAATAATAAACAACAATAAGTTTTATATGTGGCCACAACAAATTAGACAAACGGTCAAAAAAATAGACTTTAGGTATAGGTATATATCACAATATATATATAATAATGACATAAGTCATTTAAATAATTCCTCTGTGGGATGAATTATTGGACCTATCTAGATAGATACTATCGATAGAATAGATAATATAGAATAGATACTTAATTATACAAATACAAATATTCAGTCATGAAAATTGAATTAAGCCATTTACATTACCTGGGAAAAACCATCAATCAACAGAGGAAGTGGCTTAAGACCGAATTTTTTTCAGCCACTACACAGAAGTGTCAGTGTTGTTACAGCAAACGTGTTATCTGACGTTATCATAACAGTAGGGCAAAGGGGGGGGGATTGCCGGCATTGTCTGACTTCCTGTCTGTCCACAGGTACCTCTTATGTCTTCAACTGAGACAAGACATTGTCTCTGGTTGTCTTCCCTGTTCATTTGTGACGCATACAATTCTCGGATCCTACACTGTTCAATCGGAGCTTGGAGACTACGACCCAGGTAACTTGGTGTCAGTCTCTAACTGACAAATCTGTCAGTGGATCTCTCTCTCTCTCTCTCTCTCTCTCTCTCTCTCTCTCACTCACTTATTCGGTCTCTTTTGTTGATGTGCCTCTTCCTGTCTCTTCCTGTATATTACAGACGAGTGTGGATCAAATTACATCAGTGAACTGAGTTTTGCCCCAAATCAAACGAAAGAGATGGAAGAGAAAATAATGGAGCTGCACTATAACTGCAGGTCAGTAGTTACCGCCGACTAAATGTCCATAATAAAGTACAATACATCTAGTAACCGCTACCTGCTGTAGTTATATAAATGTGGGAAAAGTATCAAGCAAACGGTGATGTGAGGTGAGGTTCGTGTCTGGTGAGGCACTGACTCCTTTTGTTCACTCAGTACATTGCAGATTTTTTTTTTTATTCCAATCTCACGAGAGTTTCGCTATATTGCGGTATTTTACGGTAAATCTTTTTTTTTTAATTTAAAATATTTCCAATATTTTCTTGGTTAAAAAAGTGGTAATACAGTCTAGGGAGGGTTAATAATGAAAATAATGTGGGGGAGGTCAGTAAAGGATAAATAAATACGTAAATAATATAATAACGAAAATAATGTGGGGGAGGTTAGTAAAGGATAAATAAATACGTAAATGATATAATAACTATCTTGCCTCTACTTCGCGATTTTTTTCCCCATTTCATGGTGGGTGTTGGACGCAACTACCGCAATAGGACAGGGATTAAATTAGGGACTAGGACCAAGGGACTAAATTGACAATACAGAATGTAAATTGCTCTGGAATATAAGCCGCAGGCTAATCCTGTCAAAACCGCCCTGATCCAAATGCTCTGTGCCTGTACCTTTATTGTCAGATTAATTTCGAGGGCACCTGAATGTCCCTTGTTGCGGACATGTTATACAATGTTGTACAAAAACGTCAATGCAAGTTCATTCAAACACCGTTTCTATATAATTTCGTTTGAAACACTCAAACCATGATTTAATAGTATTTAAAGGATTTAATAGCACGGTCAATCATGAACCTCACCTCACGTCACTGCCCCCTATCAGTGCAGCACGGTATTTTCTGCCTCACCCCGTACATTTTCTTTGCGCATTCATGACTGATAAATTTAGAAACACTAAATATGTCACACGCAATTCATTAAAGAGACTGTGAAAACATTGGTGATATAAAGAGAGACAGTAATGGGCATACGCCCAACTGCCTGCTTCAGTCAGTGTGTGTGTGCGAAACAGCATGCCGATTGCTGTCACAACTCACCCATCTCGCGGGTATTTGAACAGGAAATCCGTGAATTCAGATCAAGCCATTTTTTTACCACGGAAATGGTGAAATCGAACAGAAAACTGATTTTCTCCTATCATTGTTAGTATTAGTGATGTTCGATACCACCAATTTCCTTTCCGATCCGATACCGAGTAAAATTCGGGCTGGTATCGCCGATACCGATATCAATACCGGTATTTTATCATTTGTCTTTTAAATAATAAAAAAAAAGTGTATTTCAAATCATAGCTTCTTTAAGAATCCTTTAAGAATTATTTTAAACTCTGGAGTGTACTGAGGTAGCTGCCTCATTTACTATACAGTCAACACAACAATAGAAAAACCTGAGAACACAATCATATAAAATATGTCAAAACAATGTTTCAAACTCTGAAAACATGTTATTTGTAAAACAAAATTAAAATAAAAAAATAAAATAAATAATCTGAGGAGCCATTTGGGACCCGAAAGAGTCGGATTTTTTTCAGTGAACCGAGCCAAAAGAACCGG